GCCCAACAAGCAGTGGCTGTGTTGGTGACGCAGCTATACAATACTGACCTTGTGTGGTTCGGCAAATTCTCTGGTTCGGCAGTGGTCAGGTCCCGAGGGTGCCGGACTAGAGAGGCTCCACCTATACAATTGTTTTACCTACCTTCAGTGCCTGTCAGTGGGCCTCTAATCTGGATTTCAAAGATGCCGTCGGCTCAGGTGAGTTTTGGCGTCTGCTCGCAGTGAGAGAAGGTCTGAGACCGCAGGTCTGTGTTGGTGTCTGCAGGGACAATTGGCTGCTCTGTTCTTCCCCTACAAATCCAGGGGCCAAGCCAGAGCCCCCTTCTCAGGGTCAAAGTGGCCACTCATCTCCTGGAGCAGTGTCCATGTCTACGCGACTCACTAGCCAGGAGTCCCCGTTCTGCAGGGTGGTTGGGGGGGAACTTGGACTCTGATTGAAGTGCGCTGACCAGGGGAACAAAGTCAAAATGGTCATTGAGGTAAGTAGAAGGGCAGGTGGGGAAAATCACCCATTTCATCTGCCAGACAGTGGCACTTGCTCATTTGCCATTCCAGGTCTGCGCTAGTCAGCTTATAAGTCTGCAGTTCACGGTATCTAATCCTAAAATCCTAGAGCACTAGAACTGGAAGGGACCTCGAGAGGTCATCGAGTCCAGTCCCCTGCTCTCACAGCCGGACCAAACACCATCTAGAGCATCCCTGACAGGTGTCTGTCCAGCCTGCTCTTAAATATCCCAGGGATGGAGATTCCGCAACCCCCCTGGGCAATTTATTCCAGCGTTTGACCACCCTGACAGGCAGGAACTTTTTCCTAATGTCCAACCTAAACCTCCCTTGCTGCAGCTTAAGCCCATTGCTTCTTGTTCTATCCTCAGAGGCCAAGGAGAACAATTTGTCTCCCTCCTCCTTGTGACACCCTTTTAGGTACCTGAAAACTGCTCTCATGTCCCCTCTCAGTCTTCTCTTTTCTAAATTAAAGAAGCCCAATTCTTTCAGTCTTCCCTCATAGCTCATGTTCTCTAGACCTTTCATCATTCTTGTTGCTTTTCTCTGGACCCTCTCCAATTTCTCCACATCTTTCTTCAAATGTGGTGCCCAGAACTGGACACAATATTCCAACTGAGGCCTAATTAGTGCAGACTCGAACAGAAGAATGGCTTCTCGTGTTTTGCTCACAACACTCCTGTGAATGCCGTAAATCATTACTTCTCACTTGCCTTTCCTCTGTCTGGGCTTGTCCCAAGTTCCCAGATTGTTGCTAGCTTGGGCCTCCCATTAAACCCCTACAAGCCCGGTGTTTTTGTTTTTGGAGCTAAAACCAGCCCCAACCCTGCACTGGCTGGATTGCATTGCTGTGCTAAGACATGCAATGCACCGGTGCTGAGCTGCTGACATGCTGGGGTATCTGGAAGGGAACGGCATGTCTCATTTTACTTCCCAGAAAGCTGAGAACATCCCGCGTCTGCTCTTTTCAATGTGTCTGTGCAAAGCCACGTTTCTGAAATGGGAACCTTCGCTTCCAGTTCCTTAGCCAGAGAGGGTGCCCTTCGTCGGAGCTGCCGTTACTTTGCTGAAAGGCCCAGGAGGGCCTTTGCAAGATGTTTCTTGTGTTAGGAAACCAGACTTTGCTCCTTGCCTATGAGATCCAGGTCGGGAGTTTCGAAAAGGTAACTGCTCGCTCCCTCG